GTGTGTGTGTGTGTGTGTTAAGAAGTGATGTTTGACAGTGTAGCAGGTAACGTCAGGGGAAAAATTAATAGAATTCTTCCAAATGAGGCTCTGCTGTGCTAAAGCCCTTGAGGTCTGATGAACACCTTTGGGCCAAATGGCTTCTAATTAAAAATCTTCCAAATGTCTCTGTGCGTGCTGAGGGAGCCCGTGGTGTTTATAAATTCGGTCAGCTTTGCCGGCTGACCTCCTTTGCACGCCGGCACTATCTCAGATGCTCACCCGGCCTCTGCCTGCATTGTAGGGTCCGATTCTGCTTTCAGCCCCCAGCCCCTTCCTCACGCCCAGCTTCTGTCTCCAGTGTAGCTCGAGCTGGTTGAGCAAGAGCCATCGCAGATGCCGTGTGTGTGTGCGCGCGCGTGCATGTGTGTGTGTGTGTGTGTGTGAGACGGTCTCACACATGCATAGTGCACAGCTCTCGCCTATGAAGGGGTCCCACTGGAGGTGGAGGTGGAGGTGCGCACACGACTTTCCTTCTTGTCTGTATCATCCTCGGCCAGTGAAACTCTTCAGCAGGAAAGGCAGTCGTGAGAGGTGGCATGCACAGAACACATTAGCTAAGAGCAACAACTCTTCTCAGTATGGAGGGATGTTTTGGTGATGAGAGAATGAGCTTGTTTGTGACAAGCCTCAGTCCTCCAACCTCCTTCCCGTGGCTTCTTACTTACCTGGGACGATAGGTTTGAAGCACTGTGCCTAGCTTATTCGTTGAGATGGAGTCTTGCTAACTTCTATCTGGGTTGGCCTGGAACCGTAATCCTCCTCCTGCCTCCAGAGAAGCTGGCGTGCTCTGGTGCACCAGCGGGACAATGATCCTCCTATCTCTGGCTCCGGAGAAGCTGGGAGGGCAGGCGTGCTCTGATACACTCGGGGGAAACATTCTAGTCTTCCAACTTTGCCACAGCAGTGACAGAGCAGCGCAGGCTTGGTGGTGCACGCAGCTGGCGTGGGTCAGCTGGATGGCAGGGGTGATGGCCACACGCACTCCTACCTTCTCCCCATCACCCGGCCTGCAGGGAAGCCAGAACGTTCCCCATCAGCGCTTTCTTGCTGGGTGGATAGTCATTTAGTCCTGCTGTGCAGGCAAGTTCTTTGGAGGGAATTTTGATTCCCAGTTTAGGTCTTGCTTTTCTTATCCCTGCCGACGCGGAGGACTCTGGGCTGGCGCTGCGAGGTGTCGGGCTCCCGCAGAGGGCAGGGTTGCGAGGTGGGAGGTGGGGGGTGGGGGGAGGGGACGGCCCAGTGCGGCTGGACGAGTTGTTCGGGATTTCAGGGGTGGTGGTTGTGTACCCCCCAAACTCATCCTGTCCGTGTTAGGAAAAGACTCCCTGGTGTCCTTGATTCTGACCTTGATCTCAACCTCCAACCTGAGTCCTTTTTTTTTTTTTGTCAGCTGCAATTCCAAACAGTTGCCAGCAGATGGCGCTGTGCCCTCCAGGTCCCTAAGAGAAGATGCCAATGGGGGTGCAGGCCTTGATCTGCTCCTGACCT